AAAAGCACTAAATCACGACAATACACCAAAACACTTTTACTTTTACACTGGGCGCGCGTTTCGCTAACCATGTTAGCATCATCAGCAGATGATTATAAACTAAAGTACAATCTACAAGTTGAGCGTTTATATACTCGCTTAGTGGGCACCGAGTGGGCGTGGCAAAATCTAGCCAACCGAGTCAGAGCCCACTGAGCGTAACAGTTAGATTTCCGCCACTAGAGTAGTAGGAACAAAGAACTTGAAGGAATTGGACCGTTGTCTCTGTTCATACTATCTTTACATTTATTAATTCTGATGCTTTCATATGCATCTAATTGCCTGTAATTTGAGACTTGTTTAATTAATTTTAAATTATTAAGATCTATACAACGTTCTTTATCAACGATATGTTCGCCAACGCAAGATTTATCCGGTCTACCATATCTTATCTGAGCTAAATGTTCTTTAAATCTAGTTAATATTGATCTTCTAGTTTGCCCAACATATTTCTGATTACAATCTTTACAAGAAATTTCATAAATACCCGACCTTTTCAGTGAGGTGTTTTATCCTTTGGATTACCTAATAATTGTTGTAATTTATTATTAGCACTATGCACAAGTTTATAATTGACATTCTTAAAAATTCCTTTTAGACCATGGGATAACTCTTTTCAAGTGAAGAAAGATACGTCTAAATATTTTTCGATACCGTTTTTTTTTAAATCAAACACCTAGCAATATTTTCCTAATAACCAAGCATCAGAGAACAAATCCGCGAAGGAAAACTCACATTGTATTATGCAGGTTATTTTTTATGTCTTGGATAACATTGCAATATTTAAAATGTTCTGTACAGAAAAATTGGGGTTGCAATTTAAAATAACTTTATCATTACTTTTTTAGACACACCCCGTACACAACATTTTTTTAGGATAGGCACTTTTATAAACCATGCGCTTTTTGAAACTATTTTTCATATCAACAACGACGATATTGAACTTCTTCTAACTAATGCGCCACCCTGTATTCTTTATAAATATTTATTGAATATTTATGAAAAAAAAATCGTAATAACTTCTGGACGCTTCTAGGCATTGAGTTCAAATTTGGTTACATACAAAGATTTACTATGTTAATTAAATACATCTTTAAACCCTTTGTGATGAATAAAGCAATAATTCTTGATATTTACTATACCTAAAAAATGCAATGGCAAATTTTATACAAAATTAATACAAAAACGTACTAAGTAAATAACCCGTATTATATTAGATTATAAAATTAAAAATCGGATGGATCTCGAATACCTTAGTCTATTATTTTAACAACCTATGCGCCCTAATTAATAAAATACCTTTGAAACATTTTTCCCTCTACACAGAAGAAAATTAAGTTAGAAATTTCTAAAATTTAATTATTTCAAAATATCCTTACCTTTTATTATTTTTTTTTATTTAGAGTACCAGCTTTGCATCATTATAGAAAATTAATTAGTAAGAAATGAACACTAAATCGATTTTTTTGATTCGAAGTATATACCTGGTTCATTTCAAAAGTAGCACACCCCTATAACTTTTTGATTTTTTCAGATAAAAAAATGAGATTTGGTATTTTAGTATAATATGACATATATTAATGTGTGGTATCAAATCATTAGTAAAAATTCTTTTTCCAAATACCGTATGATCGAGAAAAAACGGCGTCAGCGATGGCTATGGAATGAAGATCGCTGTCATTTTAAACGTAAATTTATATGGGAAATGTCATTGATGTTCATTTCCCAGCCAACTGGACGCCGTTTTTTTTCGATCATACGGTATGCTAATGAGCTACCCTTGTTCGATTTGAACACTAAAAACTAAACGACACTAAAAATATTAGATGAAATCCATTTTTCCAAGGCTCCTTGATTAAAAATTAGTGTTTTTAACATAGCCATGGCACCCTAGATTGAAATTTAAAATTCGTTTTTTTAAGTGAGAATGTCAGAAGTTGACATATGACATATGACATGTCATTCTATTCATTATTATTGGTATTTGGGGCTGATTATCGATTGCGGCTGGCGGCTCTCAAAATGTTGCCATTATTTTTTTTTTAAATTCAAAGTTAAATAAGTCGGTTATTATTAAATTATTTTAAAAATTGTAAAGAGAAAATAGTATGTTTCTTGTAACCAGATCTACCATCCCTTAAAATACATGCACTTATTTCTGGGACACCCTATACAGGGTGAATCTTAAATAAGTACAAATATTTTTAGGGCTGGTAGATCTCGATTAAAGGAACATAATATTTTCTCTTTACTGTTTTTCAAGTCCAAAATATAACCGACTTATTTTACTTTGAAAATTTCCAAAAGAATTATTTTTTACTAAAAATTTGATAAACACTGGATCTTTTCTGTGTTTTCTTTCTTGTAAATTTAATCTACTATCTACATACGTTGCCATAATATCAAGAAAAAAAAATCACCAAAAAAAATGTTCAAAAAATTTCAAATTTTAAGATTTTTTTGTTCGTGAAAAAACTCATAATCGTATTTCTGGGGTCGAAATTACTACCCATTAAAATATTTGCACTTATTTAAGACTCACCCTGTATAATATCGATATGGTCACTATAAATGTGATAGGCAGTTGATTAAAGACAACAATATTTAAAAAAAGTTGTTGAATATTACTATGAATATACCGGGTGTTGCATGGTCGAGCGGGACATAGGAAATCCCATGTAAATTTTAATGGGGTCAATTATTGGCTTCCCTAATTATTTTAGAGAATAATTCTATTTAGGTTTATTGAATAGCACTAAAACCCACATTCAAAAGAATAACTTTAGATATTTTTGATTAGCCCGTTTACGAGTTATCGCCGATTTTTTTTTAAATATTTCTCCTTTCTTATGGCCCTGTATTGACTTATGAGCACCAGTCAAGGTAAAAGATAACTGTCAAATAAAGTTGTCATTTCAGAAATTTGTCTATTTAGTGCTTTATTATTATTATTAAAAACTCATATACCTACATCGAAAATATTAGCCATGAATTACACTACCGAAGAAAAAGTATTGATGATTAAATGGTATTATCAAGGAAATAGTTATCAAAAGGTGTCGGACATGTTTGCTGCTCTGTATCCGAATAGACCGATACCTGAAAAATCTACAATCGCAAGGAATATCCACAGATTTGAGACCAAAGGTACCCTAATAAATAACTGCAGATGTGAAGCAAGGCAGGAACAAAGAGAAGATGCAAGAAATGATACCGTCTTGGAAGTTTTATTGTGCGTGGAAGAGAACGATGGAAAGATCAGCACAAGGAAACTTGAGGATGAAATAGGAATAGATCACACTACAGCGTTTCGAATTTTGAAACGACATAAATACTATTCCTTCAAATATGAAAAGCACCAAGAGATACGAGATGGGGACGAAATACGGCGGCAGGCGTTTTGTTTTGATATGATGGAAAGAGCAAACACGGATAGGGAATTTTTAAAAAACATATATTTCACTGACGAATGCACGTTTACCTTAAATAATGAACCCAATGTTCAAAATTATCGATATTGGAACAAAGAAAACCAACACAGATTTGTCGAAACAAGGACGCAATATCCACAGAAAGTAAATGTTTGGGCAGGGATATTCGGACACAGTATTTTCGGGCCATTATTTCTTATGCGAAATTTAAATGCAGAATATTATTTGGAACTACTCGAAAATCATATTTTACCTGCTTTATATGATGCCGCTAGGGAAAATCAGGAAGTTTGGTACCAAATGGATGGCTGCCCGGCACTTAGTACCCTGGCTGTTCGGGAATATGTAGACAATAGTTTTAACGGAAACGTTATTGGCCTAAATCATACTTACAGTAAATTGGCCAGCAAGGTCTCCTGATATTTCGCCAAATGATTTCTTTCTCTGGGGCCATCTAAAAAGCAGGATATACAAAGATGAAAAATACCCAAATCTAGACGAGTTAAAAAATGCTATTTCTGCCGAATGCAATAAAATTTCAGTTTACCAACTAACGAATGTAAGAGAATTTTATGATGGTTATTGTCTAGCAGTCGATGGAGGAATATTTGAACATTTTCTTAAATCCTAAAGTTCTAACAATTTAATAGTACCTAAATTAATAAGTTCTTGAATATTGTAATAATACTATAATTAACCTTGTATTTGATTACTTTATTTTACTTTAATTTATATTAATTTGTATTTATAAATACATCTCTAAGATTTCCGATGTAGGAATGAGTTTTCAATAATAATAAAGCACTAAATAGGTAAATTTCTGAAATGACAACTTCATTTGACAGTTATCTTTTACCTTGACTGGTGCTCATAAGTAAATACAGCGCCATAGGAAAGGAGAAATATTTAAAAAGAAATCGGCGATAACTCGTAAACGAGCTAATCAAAAATATCTAAAGTTATTCTTTTGAGTGTGGGTTTTAGTGCTCTTCAATAAACCTAAATAGAATTATTCTCTAAAATAATTAGGGAAGCCAATAATTGACCCCATTAAAATTTACATGGGATTTCCTATGTCCCGTCCGACGATGCAACACCCGGTATATTTTTTTAGCATTAAAATATGTGGAACTTATAGTAATTTTTATCCTCAAAATTTCATTGGAATCACTAGTACTTGGAAGAAAATTATAATAAATCAGTCGAAAGATTATTAAGATTTTCACTTTGTAGCTACGAAACAAAGCAGAATCGGACCTATGTCGATATTAATAATAATTCTTATTTTTACGCGAGGAATCTGCCACTAGGTTACAAATATAGCATTGCTCTTTTTCAGATCATTTCATGATTTTACATGACAGCTTTTTATAGCGGAAGAACCGCGTTGTGAGGTTTGGCATTCTTTACCAACGGTGATTTTATTATACATATGGTGTGATTAATCGTTACAATCTAGATTTTTGTAACCGAAACGAATTTGAACCACATATTTATATTTAACCAAAGTACAACATTGCTCTTTTTCAGATCGTATCATTTCTGTGCGAAAATATTAGCGAGCTATTATTAAAGCATGCGAGAGGTGTGCAAAAGTGGGGCGGTCGTGGCCGCCGTGGTGGCCGTGCTCGAAAAACAGACCCGCCAGTTCAGTCCGCCGCCCAAACTGCCGCCGAAGCCGCCCAAAACGCGCCCCATCCTCGACGGAAATAGCCCCACTAGGAAACCAACAACACCAACAAACTCCGACAAGAGCGCTTCTAAAAATAGCCAAGACGCGATAGCGGAACATCGCAACTTCGAACTGGCGGTTAAAGACTTCGACTCCGTGGTGGCGGACGTGGAAAGGACGTTCTGCAGCAATTCGGCTCCAGAGTCTCGGAAACCGTCGAGTATCTCCAAGATCAGCCGACAGAGTGCGTGTCCGGTGGATGGAGATGTGCCCGTGGTGCCTGCGGCGAACGTTTCGGACTCCGGTGACGTGACCCATGGGGTGGGTGAGGGTGAAGTGCGGAGGGTTGCCGTAGGCAGGAATTGTGTGACTATAGACTTCAAGAGCGAGGGTGGAGGGTACGAGGAGGATGAAAATACTGGAAAGAATGATGAGGAAAAAAGAAGGTAAATATTATATGCAATTTTTATGCAGTATGTCCCCAGATTGGTCTTTTCAAGAGGAAAAATTTAGTTATTATTGGCATTTTGAGAAAAATGTATTCTTCATAAAAATGTTGCTTGTTCTAAAATGTTTAAACCCGTTTATAATTTTCCAAATTTCCATACCGTTTTAGAGAAAATTAAGAAAAACATGAAAATATGGTGGAATTTTTTCTTAAGCCCTAAAAATCAAAACGCTTTTCTATGGTAATATAACTTTGTTTTCATTCTTTGATACCGTATGATCGAAAAAAAAAACGGCGTCCAGTTTGCTGGGAAATGACGATCAATGACATTTCCCATATAAATTTACATATAAAATGACAGCGATCTTCATTTCATAGCTATCGCTGACGCCGTTTTTTTTGATCATACGGTAGATTGTTATTCATAGAATTTTAATTAACGTAATATTTTTTGTTATTTTAAAATGTTAAAAAAGCACAAAATTTATTTAGTTCAATGCTACGGAAGGGTGATAGTTACCGGAAAATATGATACTTCAGCGACAGCAAAGAATATATGACGTTTTAATCAAAATTAATAATAACCATCTATCAAAGAATGAAGTCGAATTGTATTACCATAGAAACGCCTTTTGATTTTTAGGGCTCCCGCCATATTTTCATGTTTATCTTAATTTTCTCTAAAACGGTATGAAAATTTGGAAAAGTATAAACGGGATTAGGCATTTTAAAACAAGCAAAAATGTTTATGAAGAATGCATTTTTCTCAAAATGTTTTTTTGAGAAAATTTTTTTTTTCTTTTTTTTTTCTCTTGTAAAGACAATCCGGGGACATACTGGAGATACTTAGCGAGTAATAAATTTAAGTATACAGGGTGGGTCATAAAATCGTGGCACATAAAAGTTTTATTTTTTTAAATAGTACTCCCTGTATATTATTGCATATTTCGATTCTTCCTTCAATTCTAAGCAAAAATCGAAATCACACCATGTACCTCAAACCAACCGTTTCCGAGTTATTGACTTTTGAAAATATCACTTAAACAATTTGATTTAATTAATTTCGATATGTTCTGTTTCATTTAGCGATGCCATTCTGCCGAAACTGTGATACCGTTGTGATGGGTTTTTTAATGCTTATTAGCTACTAGTAAATTTAAGTATACAGGGTCGGTCATAAAGTTGTGGCACATCAATTTTTTTTTGTAAATGAAACTTCCTGTATATTATTGCATATTTCAATTCTTCCTTCACTTTTAAGCAATAATCGTAATACACAAAATATATAAATTGAAGAATTGAAATGTTAAACGACAATTTTGTATTTTCCTGACTTGGTATAATCTCATTTTATACATCTATAAATGTTAACTTGAGAACTAATGTCAAATATTATCAAGTATCACAGTTTCGGCAGAATAGCATCGCTAAATGAAACTGAACATATCGAAATTAATTAAATCAAATTGTTTAAGTGATATTTTCGAAAGTCAATAACTCGGAAACGGTTGGTTTGAGGTACATTGTGTGTATTTCGATTTTTGTTTAGAATTGAAGGAAGAATTGAAATATGCAATAATATACAAGGGGTTCTATAAAAAAAATGAAACTTTTATGTGCCACGTCTTTATGACCGACCCTGTATATTTAAATTTGTTATTCGCTAATAGATATTTAAAAATCCTATAACTTTTGTATTCAACTTTTTGCGGTACCTCCTATATTTTACCTAATAATCGACCATTTCCAGACATAACCGCGACCCTGTATATTAAACTGACATTAAGTATCAAGTTCAATAAGCGTAATCATAGTTTCTCGATATACAGGGTGTCCCAATATTCCGTGGACATAGAATTAGTACGTATTTTTGAAATCAAAACAAGTTCATTGGACACAATTTACTTCTATATGAAAATGCTTTATTTGCCCGCTAGAGGGCATCAATCTTTAAAAAAATTAAACACATTTTTTAAGATATATTTTAAGAACCTTTTTATTAAGTGCTTTAAAATTTGACTTTCACAAAAACAAAGGAAAAGTACGGGAAGGATGAAAACTACCCCCACCCCTACATAAATTTTAGCGTAAATATTTCCTAACCCCACCGACGACATATTTTCTTTTCGTAAAATGATCCCTTTAATATTTACTACATTAGTAGTTCTATATCCACGGAATATTGGGACACCCTCTATAATTGCTTACAAGATTTTTATATTATTTTTAACTTTTGAAATGGCTTGAAATTGTTTAAAAAATTATTTGTGAACGTTTGAAAAAAATGTTCTATTCGGGGAAAAAAGTCGACTTTTAGAGAATGCATAAAAATTAAGATACTAAAAGGACTAATATTCGATTTTTTGTACAATATGATTGAAAAAAAACGGCGTCAGCGATGGCTATGAAATTATCGCTGTCATTTTATATGTAAAATTATACAGGATGTCCCAGAAGTAAGTGTAAGTATTTTAACTGGTAGTATAGTTCAGCCCCAGAAAAACGCCTATGAGGATTTTATCGCGAAAAAAAAATTGAAAATTCGAAATTTTTTGAATTTTTTTTGGATTTTTTTTAGTTTTTAGTTAAAAAACATAATTTCTTGACAATATGGCAACATAGGTATTAGATTAAATTTACAAGAAAGAAAATCCAGAAAAGATTCGTTCTGGATTCTGGAGAAAAAACTGGTTCTCAAAATTTTAGCAAAAAATCATTTTTTTTGAAAATTTTCATGGACTTATTTGAAAAACGATAAAGAGAAAATATGTTTCTTTTATCGAGATTTACCACCCCTTAAAATACTTGTACCTTTTTCTGGGACACCCTGTATATGGGAAATGTCATCGATGTTCTTTTCCAAGCCAACTGCACACCGTTTTTTTTCGATCATACGGTATTTATAATAAAATAATTAATGGAGTATTATTTGATGTTATACTTAATGTAAAGTAACAAAATATACATACGCTAAAAAGTCTTTGACTCGAAGGACAACTTCAATAGACAGTGAAGGCAAAAAATAGCTAAAAATATAAAGGATCGATACATGTACTCTTTTATTTTTCCAGATGGAACTCTTTAGCAGAGATGAAAAGGCCGAAATTAGATAAAAATCTGAGTAATATCCTTGAAAGCTGCTTCTTTTCATTAAGTTGAGAGCTAATTTTGTAGTGGTTATAAAATAATAATTCTGTGTTACAGAAAGTCTGGGTTCTCTGAGTATAATAACCTAATTAAAAAGTAATCAAATTAATTGTTTTGGCGTTTGCTATTAGAGTATAAAAAATGTTTTTACTTTTTGCTTATAATATTGGACAGATAGATTCTTCTATTCTCTAAAGTAATTTTTTAAAGCTTATACAGGGTGAGTTTCCTACGATGTTCTCTATGGGTATCTCGGAAACTACTGGAGATAGAGAGTCGGTTAAATGGGGAAAGAATTGCAGTTTTGTGGGGTCATAAATATTCGCCTTTCAGATTTTTGAAAAAGTTCATGGCTTACTAGATATTTCGAAAAAAACAAATTTTGGCTTTTTAAAAAATTGTCTCTAATTTCATTATAAGCTATTTTAGACAAAAAGTTTTCAGATAAAAGTTGTAGATAATCACATTAATGAGACCGTGTCCTCCGTTTTTTTCTAAAGCTTGTCATTTTTGATATATGACACAAACATTTTTTTTTTAAATGGAAACCATAGTTGGCCATGACTTCATAAAAAGCGCCATTTTTTAAGCTTTTTAATGATATAAGCTATAATATATTTTCTTCGAAAAATTACTGAGATATGGTCAATTCTTATCATTTTTAAACAATTTCACTTAGTTAGCCATGGAAACAAGTTCAATCGGCGTTGCTCTCAGAAATGTTAAGCTGTCACATCCAAACTTTGTAAATTATAATAAACAAAAATTGTAAATATGAATTTTTCAAATGAAGAAAAGCGTGTAGATACTCGCGCATCAATAGAGCGGTTTCAACATGACACACCACCCCCCACCCTTCATAATGAAAGAAATTTTAAAAATTATTTATATAATAATTATACAAACGCAGGGATAGGAAGAGGTGGACTAATTGCATGGGCCTCCTCGATCACCTGACCTATCCATTTTAGACTTTTTTATACCGTATAGTTAACAATAAGGGTTGACAAAAGAACTTATGAATTAAGAGAGGCACTCGAAGTGGCGGTACGAGAAAAGTTTAATTAAGTCGACCGGTCCTTCTATGAGATTAAGTAGGAATTCAGTTTTAAAAAGATGCAACTCAAAACAATGACGGATTTTTTGAGCATTTTCTAAAATAACTTGAAAGTGTATGTAGTGATATTATTTTTTTAAGTTTTAGTTTGTGTAATGTAAATTGTAAAGAACCGTTTTGTAATATATTCTGACTTTTTATAAGTTATAAATCATAACAGAATAAGAATACCATGCAATCTAAGTGAAATTAGTCAAGAAAGATAAGAATTGGCTATAACTAAATTTAACTTTTCTAACATATCTTGAAAACCGTTCTCTAAAAAACGTAACAGTCACCGGACAACGTATCCTCGAAAATGTATGGCCAAGAAAGGTTGAACCAATAATCCTACACGTTTTTCTTCATTTGAAAAATTCATATTTACAATTTTTGTTTATTTTAATTTACAGAGATTGGATTTGACAGCTTCACATTTATGAGAGCAAAGACGATTAAACTTGTTTCCATGGCTAACTAAGTGAAATTGTTTAAAAATGATAAGAATTGGCTATAACTCAGTAATTTTTCGAAGAAAACATATTATAGCTTATATCGCTAAAAAGCTTAAAAAATTGCGCTTTTTATGAAGTCATGGCCAACTATGGTTTCCATTTTAAAAAACATATGTTTGTGTCATATATCGAAAATGACAGGCTTTGGAAAAAAAACGGAGGACACGGTCTCATTAAGGATGTGATTATCTACAACTTTTATCTGAAAACTTTTTGTCTAAAATAGCTTATAAGAGAATTAGAGACAATTTTTAAAATATCCGAAATTTGTTTTTTTCGAAATATCTAGTAAGCCATGAACTTTTTCAAAAATCTGAAAGGCGAATATTTATGACCCCACAAAACTGCAATTCTTTTCCCATTTAACCGACTCTCTATCTCCAGTAGTTTCCGAGATACCCATAGAGAAAATCGTAGGAAACTCACCCTGTATATAGATAGTTAATGCTTTGGGCAAAGAAACGTCGTTCTTGGCCCTATTGAAAAGCGCCAATCTTTTGGGTCAAAGTCATATTCATTTCGACTGAGAGATCCTTTTTTTCAGTGTATGTATATTTTTTCACTCAGTAGTTTTATACAGGTACGGACGAAAAGTTATTACTCTTCAAAGCAGTTAAAACACATGTAGGTGGCACCCTCTTCAAATAGAAGTCATATTGACGTCAAAATCAAATTTCTCATGTCAAAAAACTCCCAGACACCAATTTTAATCCAAATATTGACGTTACTTCAGAAATTATATGGAAAAAATCGAAATAAAAATGAAATTTCTACACCCTGTATCTCTGAAACAAAGCAGTTTAGGACATACATTTATACGAACTTTTTTACTTATTTTTATCTGCAAAATATGCTGCCGAAGTTTCCGGAATACAGTTCGGACCACCCTGTATTTATATACAATTAATCAAAAAAAATCATAGAAATTGGGTTAAAAATAAAAAAAATATAACACTCCAAATTTGACGAAATATTCTTCCGTTGCGTTTTTTTGCATCTGAGTGTAGATATCTCTAATTATAGTAAAAAAAAATCTAAAGAAATTTGTGATATGCATACCTTCAAATTAGATTTATTTCTAAAGCAAGTAGATTTAATAGAGCCCCGGATATGTTCAGACATTGATACAAAATCCAGGTGCTATTCAACTTGGAAAAATATATTTTCGAAGCAGCGTATAAATAAATTGGCTAGCATAAAATTAATTCCAACTGGAAACGAGTGCATTCTTTCCAAATACCAGGTTAGAATGTTTACAGAACATTCTAAAATAAACTTGAAGTATTTTTTCGTGGTTTTATGAATGTTACCTTATAGAATAGTTCACTAATTAGGGCAAGTACTGAATTGACTTTTAAATTTTAGTTCGGATTTATTCTAATTAAGAAAGTTTATCAAACTTCTACAGCGCCACACTTCGCATGTATATTTGACATTCAAAAAAGGTTTTCTTTATGTTTTTCGACTTGGTTTTGAAAATAGTTTTTTCATTAATATTGTAATTTTGTAATTCAAGCATTTTCTATACCGGGTGCGTCTCTAAAGTTATTTTTTCAGACAAAAAAATGAGATTTAGTATGTTAGTATATGACATAAATTAGGATTGATTGACGTATTCAATTGTTTTTGGTCACTTCCTGTTTCACCGGAAATGACTACAACTTTTTATTTTTAAATGGCACCATCGGTATTTTTTTTACTTTATTCGATAGAATATAAAATTCTGAATAGAATGTCATATCATATGTCAATTTTTGACATACTCGTTTAATAAAAAATCGCATTTTAAATTTCAATCTAGACTGCCATGGCTATGTTAAAAACCCTAATTCTTAATCAAGGAGCCTTGGAAAAATAGATTTGACAGTCTAATGTTTTTAGTGTCTTGTCTTGGCCGGTTAAAAGATTCCCAAATCGTATTTTTAATCATATCTCATTTTTTTAAAACGGAACGAGGGTGGCTAGGCTTATATTAATTATTAGCATATTAACGTGAATATTAGCATATTAACATAATTGAATACGTTAATCAATCCTGATTTATATCATATACTAATATACCGAATCTACTTTTTTTAACTGAAAAAAATAAAAAAGTTATAGGGGTGAGCCACTTTTGAGACGCACCCGGTATACATATTTCAATATCTTTCTAGATTTGAATATTCAATTACCATACTAGTCCAGTAAATGACTAATAAATAAACACAAAGAGACCCAAATCTCGGCTTAATTCGTCGACCATGAAAACACTTCTTTTCGTAAAGTCCCAGGAAAATGGTTAAAAACTGCCCTATAGGGTCAAAGAACGGGGTTTCCGCCAATACTGATCGAAATATGGCATGCAGATGATTTTCATTATCTGTATAACTTTTTTTTGCCGTTAATATTTCCAATATTATTAGGATAGTTATTCTGCTACTGGGGGCAAAACCAATTCCAACGAATCATTAAAATTGGTCCCTATACTAATATTGGTACTATTCTCGAGTTAAAAATGGTGCAACTAACCCGACTTTGTTGTTTTATTCATTTATATTTACTTTTGAATGTTCGATGTTTTATCTGTTCAATTTCCCTTTAGTGTAACAACGTCTAATTCGAAGAATCACAACAATAATTTTACATCGAGTTTCAACCGCTACATTTGCGAACCGGAGGAACTGGTTGTTGTGCTTGGGTACGATCAAGAATCCGCTGATATTGACAGTGACAGTTTGGAAGCAAGTAGTGACAGCGAAGGAGAATGTTTTATTAATCATGGCTTAGCAACTATAGCTGAAGAGGAGAGGATCAGTGCAAGCAGCGCTCAATCGTCCAGAGGTAAGAACAAATTTTTTATATGCATATTGATTTTTAATCCTCATTGTTATGTATCAAAGAAATTAGCAGACGAGGACAATGTTTAAAATTTAGGTTTAGTTCTCCATTTTTATTTCTTAAAAATATTATCTGTTAAATACCGATCATTTTGCTTCGAGTATGCTGCAGTTTTTATGGAAGGCTGTAAGCTTTAATTGTCTCGACTATCTTTTATTAGTATGCCATCATCATTTTCAGCTTATTCAACCATTTCCAATTATGGTGTAGCCTCCCTCGCGTACTCTCTTTGTAGTTGGGCCTATTGTTGTCTACTGTTGGCTATGCGGCCTAAGTTATCCCCGCTAATTTCCTAATATCATGGTCCCATCGCAGATTCGGTTTTCTTCTAGGTCACTTAACTTCTCGTGGGTACCATGCTCTAATTGTTGTGGTCCATCTGTTGTCCGTTCTTCTTGTCATGTCTCCTGCCCATTGCCATTTGAGGGACTTGATTCTGTGGATGACATCTATTACCTGGGTCTTTAGTCGTATCCACTCTATTCTTTTATGGTCCCTCTTAGTTATTCCCAGCATATTTCGTTCCATTGAGCGTTGTGCGATCTGCAGTTTCCTTATGACGTCCGTTTTAAGTGTCCAGGTTTCTTCTTTAGATAGAGGGGCTTTCTTTAGATAGAGGGGGATTCTAGATTTGAATGTGATTGAGTTTTTATTTGAGTTTTAAAAAGATATTGAATTTTGAATTGGAAAATTGAGTTTTATTTTAGAGATCCCTAGCTGTGTATTAGTTGTCCCAAATATATACAGGGTGTCCCAGAAATAAGTGCAAGTATTTTAAGGGGTGGTAGATCTCGATAAAAAAAACATATTTTCTCTTTATCGTTTTTCAAATAAGTCCAAAATAACGGAGTTATTTTACTTTGAAAATTTCCAAAAAAAAATATTTTTTTCTAAAATTTTGAGAACCACTGGATCTTTTCTGGATTTTCTTTCTTGTAAATTTAATCTACTACCTATGTTGCCATATTATCAAGAAATTATGTTTTTAACTAAAAACTAAAAAAAATTCCATTTTTTTTTTCAAAAAATTCCGTATTTCCAAAAAAATTTGTTTCGCGAAAAATACCTCATAGGCGTGTTTCTGGTTATACTCCCAGTTAAAATACTTGCACTTATTTTTGGAACACCCTGTATATTCTTCTACTATTTCCAGTGTTGTGTTATTTATTAGAATCTTTCCTTTATTAGTATGTAAATTTCGTAATACTTTGCCTCATAGTCAAAAATTTGAACCCTCAAGGTATTTCTACAAAATAAATTGAACAGCTAAGATCAGGTAATAAGGACTACAACACTTTCGAACGCGGATTGCTTCGTGCAAAACAAAATTTAGTTAAATTAAAATTAAAGGTTATGCTGATCTATATCCGGCAGAACTGGAACCTGGATGTAGATCTATGAAGCTTGATGTAACTCCGTTTCTAACTGTAAAAGCCATCTCTACAGCACAGTAGAACATTTTCAGTCCGATGATAAGTTCGTCTGAATTCGTCGGGTGTTTCAGATCTAAAATTCTCTAGTTTTTTTCTTTGGTGGTTATGTCTTCATATGCGTCTTTTTGAGTTTTTGTGCCTGGGATTCCATAAATTATTCTTATTTCGACGATATTCATCTATCAACCAAACAATATCGTTCTCAGACCAGTCCGTAGTTTGTGTTGCGGTAATTCTTTAAAGCTGATGTGATTTGTTAATTTAAATTTAAAATCTAAGTTAACCTATTCATTATGAATAATATATGTATCAAATTCTTTTAAATTAAGTACCTATAAAGTAAAATAAAGATTTTTTTTTCTTCTCAATACTGAATAATCTCTCGGTAATCCAATAAACTTATGCGAACTATAAGTCTATTATCCAGTACATTCCCAACTTAATACATTTTGAACGTCAGAAGCAATGACATACATACCTACAGTGTACGGTGCATTGGATAATGCTACACCATATTAGTCTATGTTATCTACCACAGGCATGTAATGAAAATGTTTTGACATTGGTTGACATGTCTACCGCAAGCAGTGCCTTAATTATCGCTCTAGTGCAGTTATGAAACTTTGTACGAAATTAGACTTACAATTAGACTAGATTAGATCATACAGGGTCCGGCAATAGTGCGTCGGGCATCTGCAGCTCCTATAATAAAAAAGTTAAACCGTTAAAAATTTTGAAAAACTTTAAATACGAAAAATGTTCATTTTTTAATTCTCCATCTATTAAAAAAATAATATACAGGATGTTACATTTAAAAAAACGAAGAAAAAATATTTTAAATTTTAGAAAGTTTGGCGTAGAATTTTGAACATCCTGTATGATTTAAGATTACGATATTTATAGTAAAGTAAGTAGAGACCATCTAAAGTAAATACCTAATATATTTTTGATATCAGGACTGTTATTATATTTTTAATATTTTTTTTTAAAAGTTTAAAAAATATATATTTTTTATTTATTTCTTAATATCTCTGAAACTATCGAAACATATTTACACATATCTTAGGATTATGTAAAGTGATCTGAAAGGAAGCCAAAGATGCAATCGAGGTGGTTCATTTAAAAAAAAATCAGCCCGATCCACTCACTTTTTTGAGTCACCCTGTAGAAGTTAAAATATTTTCCTAAAATACATCTTAGTACATACTTTAGGTTTGCACTTAAACAAAACTCCCAATTTTTTTTATTCTATGAGCTACAGATGCCCGACGCACTATTGCCGACCCTGTATATTGAGATGTCATTTATTTATTTATGTCAAATTAAAAACTATAAATCTATAGAAGTCTCAGTTTGAATCTTAGTTTGAATCGTGTACTTTGAAATCACACAATTTTAAATTAAAAATGTTAATTTTAAGGTGCGTTTAGACTTCAGCACGCACGAGCTGAGCGTGCGCGCACGGTATTCGTTCGCGCTCTCGGCTCCGTTTAAGTTAAAAACTTATTTCCGACGAATGAAGTGATCCACTTGTGCACGCACAGCAGACTTGTGTTGGTGAAAATAATGGATGACCAAGAAATAGTCGCGACTGCATTCATTGTTATGCACAGCTTAACAATGAAAATGAGCTAATAAAAAGAAGAAAAATCGAAAACATCGTCGCTGGTGGCAAACCCAAATTTTTACAAGTCGATATAATTTATTAAACAACTTAGTGTCCGGGGGGGGGGACTATGTTTATATTAATTTTATTTACAAGATCTTGCCATGCGTAATTTTTTTGGATTTTGAATAATACGAAGAATGTTTAACATCCTTTAATATCGGCAACTTTTCATATTCTTGAATTAATAATAACGAAGATTCATTGGTCCACGCCATAATTTTAATAAAGAAAACGAAAAAAAAATCACAGACGCACGCACGCATGCAGACAAAACAAATTGCCGGTGCAGACTGAGCGTTCGCGCACACATAAAATCCCTTTGAGCACGGACCAAAAACCGACACCAGATGGCTCACGTTCGCGGCTGCTCGCGCATAGACAGATTCAGAGTGAGCGTGCGCGCACAGCCGTTTACACTTGAGCATTCGCGAAGGATCAGTGCGTGCGTGCTCAGCTCAAGTCTAAACGCACCATTAGGTGGCTAAATTTGTGTGTGGCTATCTATGTATTTAAAAGTTGAATATAAAAAAAGTTATTTATGAATTGTAACAGGGTGAATTTTAAATACGTGCATTTCAGGGCCGTTTTTCAAATAAGGGTGCGTCAGTAAATTGCGTTTTTGGGGATTTTTTAACCCCTCCATCCCCACTGATTACATTTCGTGAGTCGTGAGGTATGTCTCGATTTTCTTTTGAATTTAACGTAGTAGTGTTTAGTAAAAATAACTATTTCATGTTGTAGTCGCGAAAAACAGAGTTCTTTTTAAGAAACATAATTATTATTTATACTTCATACCAATTAAACTTTTATTCACGTGATTAAGCTTGACCGGCACAGCGTTGCCCACTTTTACATATTTTCTTTTAATCAACATATTTTAGAAAACAAAAATAAATGAATTATAAAGATATAAACAGTTAAAAACTTAGATAAAAGGCCATTACTACCGCATTCCCGTTCAAAATATTCTAATAAGGTTGGGATGAGTTTTTGCATTGGTTATTAATCTATGTTGCACACTTCGCACTAAAAGAGGTTCTAAAAAGAACAATGTTCGACTGCAAGATCTGGTAGTAAAAAATTTTAAAGTTAAAGTATCACAACACAAATTATTTAAATTAAAAACTCGTAAAACAAAATTAAAGTGTCAAAACTAATGACAATGTCAGGAAATAAATAAATCAATGTGACCACTTGACATTTTTTACAGCAGAGCTACCATCTGAATCCCTAGCGGGAAATTTAAATTCCAGTTTAGTTAGCTCTACGCCGAAATGTCCATGGTTGGTAACAATGAATTTAAAAATCGCGCCCTCGATTACGTATAACTAAAAGTTTAATTGTTATCGCTTGTAGTATTTTGTATATTATAATAAATATGATTTATAGTTATTTTAACATTATACTCTCAAAAGTAATTAAATATAAGGTGCCAATCCTAAAAATGTCAAAAATAGTTCCGGACATAAAGTGTTTTCCGAAACTGTTAAGTTATACTGCAGTCTACAATTGGAAAAATATTTTTATAGTAGCGGTTATAAATACGAATAAAGCAGGAACTGTTTAAACCCGGCAATAAAAAGATACGAAACACATGCTACGATTGGAGGCATCGTGTTGCTGGAACGCTCTCATTTAAATTTATTTTTTATTCCAGGACCGTATTTTTGTAAATCTTCATTTAATTAAAATCTATTTAAAATTTATTTTAGCTTCAATAATTATTCGTTGTAAATTAACGTTGTTAACTTATGAAATATATTTTAAGTAAATTTTATTCTTGGTTTGAGGTCAGGTGTAAATAAATATTTTAGAGATTTAATCCATAATTATTATTTATT